ACCATTCTGATAAAAACTTAGCTGCTGATGTGCTTGTTTTCAGACCATGTTTCTTAACGTGTCTTAAGGTTTACTGATTTCTTTCCTCACTGTGTCTTTTGTCTACTGATAAATCAGCAGAAAATTCTTTGTTACTGATACTTTGTGACTTTGTGTTTTGATTTTCTGTTGTTTCTTAACATTTCCACCGTCCTTTTTATATATATCCCATTTCTCTCCTGAAGTTTCTCACTGATCCATGCATTTTGTCACCTTTCCCATATGTCCTTTTGTATATTGTTGTATAGTTCCCATACCTAGGTCTGTATCTTGGTCTAATTCTGTTGGCTGCTTTCTCTTCACATGAATTATTTGTCTTGTGATTTTTGTCTTAAAATTATTATCTAAGTCTGGTCATTGTGAGTAAAAAACAGTAGATACTGAGGTAATAGTAATTATGACTAGAAAGAGGCATGCTTTATCTGGCAGGCCATTAGTTAGTTAGGCTTTTGTCTGTAGTATTCTTCATATGTATGTGTCACAGAAGCTCGCTCTTCCCACTTACAGCACTCTTGTCCCTTCCCCCACTGCTGCTCCCAACTGCAGATTGGTGTTGGTTGTTACTCAGTGCTACCTGGGTTTGTGGTGAGGGCTCTTCTTTGACTTGACACACTCACAAGTAAGTGCTTTGAGCCTTAATCTTGGGATATATTTTACTGCTCCTTTCATGCTTTTTTTTTTGTCAGTGTATACACTAGTATGTATAATAGGAATCTTTAATTTATCACAAATATGTCACTTCATGTATCTTATAAGAATCTTACAACAATATACTTCTGTTTTCACCTTCTCTCTTTTGTACTGCTGTGATACTTTTCACTTTGACTTGTTATTAATTTCATAATACAACATTCTTATTTCTGCTTTATATCAGCAGTTAGCTAAGTTTTTCACTAAATAATAGAAAGTAAGTGTTTTGGACTTAAAGGACTACATGGTGTCTCTTACAGCTTTGCCACTCCACTGAGGTAGCACAGAAATAGCCATAAACAGTTCATAAATAGATAAGCATAACTGTGTTTCAATGAACTTTGTTATAAGTGACAGGGATATGGATTAGTAAATTATCTTTTTTTTTTTTAAATATTGATAGCTTTGTTGAGATATAGTTACATACTATAAAATTCACCCATTTAAAGTACACACTTGAATAGTTTTTAGTATATGCAGATCTGTGAAAGCTCACAACAAATTTACATTGTTGCTACCCCAAAAGGAAATGTAATACCCGACTCATCATCCTCTAATTCTCTCATCCCTTGCTCTGCCCCATTCTAGGTAACTTCCAATCTATCTGTAGTTTTACTTAGTCTGGGCATTTCAATAAATGAAATCATGTAGTATATGATGCTTTGTGACTGGTTCTTTCACTTAGCATAATATTTTTAGAGTCATCTATATTGTACAAGTATCAATATTTCATTTATTTTTATTGCCAAATAATATTCCAGTAGTATGTGAGGGTTACAGTTTTTTCACATCTTTACCAACACTTGTTGTCTTTCTTTATTATAGCCACTACAATGGGTATGGAGTATCTCATTGTGGTTTTGATAATGCACTTTGAAGCACATCCTTGATATCCAGTCTGTGCTACCTGTTTTTTCTATTATTGATGTGCTTTTGGTTTCGTATATAAGAAGCCACTGGCCAATCCAAAATTGTGAATATTTTATCTGTGTTTAGGTCTTTGATCCATTTTGAGTTAATTTGTATGTATGGTAGGAAATGAAGTTTCTAAATAATTTTTTACATGTGCATATCCAATTGTGTCAACATCATTTATTGAAAACATTTTTTTCCCATTGAATTGTGTTACTGTCCTACCCTTGTCAAAAATCAGCTGACTACAAATGTGAAGATTTATTTTTAACTATTAATTTTTATTTCATTGAGCTGTGTGTTATCCTTGTGCCAGTGCCACACGTTTTTTTTTTACTGTAACTCCTATAATATTTTTAGAAATTGGGAAGTGTGAATGCGCCATTCCTTCCAATCTGGGTGTCTTTTATTTCATTTCTTGCCTTATTGTTAGATTGTCTAGTACAGTATTAAGTACACATGGCAAAAGTGGACATCCTTATTTGGTATCTGATCTTAGAGGAAAACTATCAGTCTTAACCAGCAATGGTGTTGAAACTTGAGTGTTTTTATCATTAAAAAGCCAAATTTTGTTGAGTACTTTTGTCTGTCTGTTGAGATGATGATGTGGATTTTGTTCTTTATTCTACTGATACATATGCTATAGATTGATTTTCATATATTAAACCAACTTTGCATTGTTGGAATAAATTCTGCATGGCTGTAGTTTATAAGTGCTTTTTGTGTATTTGCAAATATAATAATCTATAGTTTCTTTTTCTGATTTTGGTATTAGATAATACTGACCTCACAAATGATTTGGGAAAAATTCCTTCACAGTCTATTTTTTCGGAAGAGTTTGTAAAGAATTGATGTTTAATGTTCTTTATTTGGTAAAATTTGCCATTGAAACAATCTGGGCCTTCCTTGTTGGAAGTTTTAAAAATAATTCAAAATCTGGTGGCTTTTAATAAAATACACTACATTTTTGTCAGTTTGGCTAGATTATTTCTAGGAATCTCTTGTATTTCCACTAAATTATCTAATTGGTTGGCATATAGTTTTTCCAGTATTTCCTTGTAATCCTTTTTACTTCTGCAAAGCCAGTAATAAATTCCTTTTTTCATTCTTGATTTTTATAGTTTGAGTCTTTTTTCTTGGTCAGTCAAGTTCAGAGTTGTTAACTGTTGATAATTTCAAAGAACACCCCTCCCCGTTTTTGGTTTGTAGATTTGTTCCTACTGCTTTTCTTTTCATAATTATCTATTTAAAGATCTTGAATACATTATTTGCCCAGGGTTTATAATTTTTAAGTTATTTTTATATAAATCTAAATTTTCTCCTATTTTTGACTTGAACAACTGACTCTTAGCTTAGATCTTTTGCCAATGAATTCTCTCAGCCTTGGTTGTCTGAGAAAAGTTTTATTTTGCCTTCATTTTGAAATGTATTTTGTGGAATTTCAGTTTGACACTTTTTTTACTTTCAATAATTAAAGACATGTTCCATTACATTCTGTTTTAAGTAGTTTCTTATGAAAATATGCTGGAAGATTAATAGTTCTTATCAATTTTTATTTTTCTTGTTTTCAGATTTTTGTCTTTCTTTTTGATAATCAGCAATTTGTGGAGTATTGTAGGGTGTTTTTCATCCTGCGTGGGATTCATTAAGCCTTTTGATCTGTGGTTCATATTCTTTCATTACTTTTAAAAAGTTACAAAGCATAGTCTTTTTAAATAAATTTTCCACCGTTTTTCTCCTTTACTGAGAGTCCAAATATATTTATTTTAGTATGTTTGGTACTCTTAACAAGTCTTTAATCTTCTGTTTTTCACACTTTTTCTTTGTTTTACTTTGGATAATTTCTTTTGACCTGACTGATTCTTTCTCTGTGTCCTGTCCATTCAGAAGCCCATGTATGTTCTTTTTTTTCAATATTGTGGTTATTAAAACATTTTTATTTCTATTTCATTTTTTTAATAGTTTCTGTCTTTGTGGAAAGACTCTATTTACTCATAAATTTTTCCAAGCTCTATATCACATCCTTTAATATATTCACCATATTTGTTTCAAAGTACTTCTGTGATAGTTCTAAACTTTGGCCTCTTCTGGTTCTGATTTTGTTAACTGCTTTAGCTCTTGACAGTGCTCTCTTTTTTTTTTAATCTTGTATGTTTTATAAATATTGTTGAGTGCTAGACTTTTTTTTTGAAAAATGTTTTTACAGGTTTTACCTTTCTGTTTTCAAGGTTTTTTTATTTTTTTAATAACAGTTTATTTTTACATCATTTTGTACATTTTTTTTTCCCATCTCAATTGTAATCCCCGTGGGTTTCCCATCACCAAGTCACCCGTGTGCCATCACCATAATCCCGTTAGTGCTAGACATTTTTAAAAGAACAAGACTCCAAGGTTAATAGCACAGGCCTAGCCCGCCCCCATTCCTTATTGTATGATCGGTGGGTTATTTCTTGGGTATGGGGATGTTCAAAAATGATCCATATAAATTTTAATTCAACAGCATTCCCAAACCCAAAAGCTAATCACAACAAACAGTAATGTTCTACTTTTGGTTAGCAGGAAGAACCAGTATTTATGTTAAGAAAAATGCACACCTGGTTTTCTCAGGTTACTAGTTGGGGGGCCATGGGTTAAACCTATTTGGTCAGTGGTTGAACAGATTTTATGTTTTCTTAGCACACATTTGTTGCAACCAGCCACTGGCTTGAATTTTTTTGGTGATTCTGCACATTGTGATTAATGTGGGATTTGGAATACTAAAAGAATTTTTTTTAATGTGTTCTCACCACATACTTAACCCTCAGTAAGCCCTGCATACCTATCCCATAAGAGAATCTCATACTCTTGCTCAGCTCTCAGCAGTAGATGCTATTGTTCTGTGCTTTAGTCAGGGTTTAGGAGGAGAAGGGAGAGAGGACATTAATTCTTTTCTTATGGGTTAGTGTTAGGCAGGTTCTTTATACCTGAGTACCAGAGTGGGTATTAATGTTGCTGCCCTTTCCACTACCCCTCCCAGCAACCTTGTATCTAAAGAAGGAACTAGTGGCCTATTTCTGTTCCACAACAGAACAGAAAGATCCTAAGTCTAAGCTTGTTTCAGCCTTACTCCTAGTAGCAGATACTTTCTTTTCTCTCTCTCTCAGTCAGTGAAAGCTGGGCTTTTTTTTTGGACCAAGGGTTTGAGGGTTTCTTTCTAAGATAACACAAAAATTACCCTTAATATCTTTCTATGTATCTGTATCATTGTTTTTTCTCTGAAAGACTATTTCCTCTGAGCAGAGGCTGAATCTTAGATTTTTGAAAGGATAACTACTATCTGGTTATTATTATAATGTGCCAATGTGTTTGTTCTTTTCCAGCTTAGGCTTGATTTCCGACTCTTTTCACATGTTTTTCGATAGCACTGCCATTTTGGCTGGATTGGCAGCATCTGTTATTTCAAAATGGAGAGATAATGATGCTTTCTCTTATGGGTAAGACTTTTAAAAACCCTTTTTATTGAAGTATAAGAAATATAGAAAAATACACAATCCCAAATCTCACAAATTGAACTCACTTGTATAACTTGAACCCATAAACTCTCTCATGCCTCTTTTGAGTTCCTTCACACTCATCTTCCCAAGGCCAGTCAATTTCCTAACTCTGTGGGTTAGTTTGCGCAGTATATAATTTGAATCTACAGTTTGCACTTTTTTTTTTTGATCTGAATTCTTTTGCTAACAGGTATGGCATCTTAATTATACCAAAACTACTTTTTACTTGACATTTTTATAAGCTAGGGGAAGTTCTTAATGCTTAACTACCTTTTTTTTTTTAAGAAGAAAAGGAAAATATACTAGCATATGAAAATATTTATATTTCTTTTTCTTCTTTGAGAGGATATTTTATTTACTCATTAATTTTAAAATATATTTCCTAATGGCTTTATATTATCCTCTTCAGCTCTGCTTTCACATAAAATATTTCTCATAGTCTTTTTGAATTTGACCAATCAAGCAAATATTTGGAGAGTCTTGATGCTGAAGGAAGTATATTGCAAAATCTTTTCTTAATTCTTACACTTAAAAGCAAGGTTAATTTTTGCCACTTCTGATTGATTTACTTTGCCTGAGTGTTTTAATTCTGAGCTCTTAGAATATTTTCTAGTGTAATTACATTTCCGACTAAGTGACACTCAGGACTTTTCTCCAGTCCCACTTTCTTTTTTTCTTACTCCTCTTTCTCTCCTTGCTTGTTGATTCTTTTCCTCTGTCGTTTCCGTTTGCTCCTATTCCTCTCTCTCCCTCTCTCTGTGAGTGTTCCCTCATGCATTCCATTCTTCATCTGTTTTCCTCCATCTCTAACTCTTGACCCATCCTCAGATTCATCTCATCTCTCCTGACCTCCCTCCCTGACTTGTTATTTCTTTCTAGCTACTTGAGCTCATGATCTTTCTCCCTGCCTGTTTTTTACTCTTCTCTCTTCTTCCTTCCTTCTTCACATCTTTTCTCTTATTCTTTTTTTTTTCTCTTGCTCTTTCCCTGTACCCTTGCCACAGATTCTCATCCTTCCTCTTCTCGCCCATGACTTCTGCAGGTCTAGCTTCTTTTTCTCTCCCTTTACCAGTCTCTCTCTTTCCTCCTCCTCCTGATTTTTTTTTCCCTGAGCTCTCCCTTACACACAGTCTCTTAAGCCCCTTCTTCTCTCTTCTTTCTGCTCTTGTCTCTCACCCCTTCCTCCTGTCTCTGGCTCTCACCCTTTCTACTTCTCTCTCTAGCTATGGTTTTGTCTTTAGCAAACACACACTCTTTATTTTACACATGCTCTTGTTCTCTTGAGATGTTTATTGAGGGCCTAGTATGAGTCAAATTCTGATGATATGAGGATGAATAATACATGACTTCTGCCTTGGAGGAACTGTGGTTTAATGGGGAAACAGTTCCATAGAAATACTGCAAGTAGGCTAAGTCTAGGGATGAGTCCAAAAAAACCTCAGTTCAGTATGTTAACTATAGCAGACTAACTGCAATAGAAGAAATAATATGTAGATTCTGAACGTCATCAAAATTTTTATGTATTTCTTTATATAAAATTCATCTTCGTGTCTTGTCATACTTGTATTTTTGAAATAGCAATGTCAGCATGAAAGGTAATAGGCATTCAATAGGTAGGTTAGATGCTTATGTACTCATGTACATCTACTTTTATTATTATTTTTTTTGCCCTGGCTATAGATTTCAGATAACATCATGTTTACTAGGCAATAAAACATTCATAAATTATATAGTTTAATTCCAAGCTGATCAAGTAATTGGTCATTTGTAAAGGCAAGTATATCTAATTTTCACAGGCTGTTTATTTTAAAGGGTTAAACCAAGTTTGACCAAATATTAAGCTTAGCTAAATTAGCTTACTCCAGTAATTTATCAGAATTTATGAAGCACCTATTAAGCTTAGCATTAGGGACCAAAAAATGACTGAAAAACATACCTGCCTTTGATCTTGAAGTCTAGTAGAACTCACAAAGACAAAGGTTTTTAGTCAGAGATTAGCTATGCAAGTGGGGTGAATTAAAACAGTGCTTTTTATTTGAGGGGCAGTTATCCTGCTCACAAACTACATAAAATCATAAGTATAGATTGAGAAAAGCAGTTTGTGAATTCCATGAATAGTGAACTTTTGCTCTTGGATTAAAAACTATGTTTTGGCAAATAATGCTATTAATTTATTTGCATTGTTAGGAGGTAGAAATATGCCTTGTTTCTGTGTATAGAGTAGGTGCTATGTTAGAATGTACTTGGTAGAGCAAATTACAAATGAGGCAGAATATATTTTAAAGAGTTTCCTTTATACTAAAATTTTCATTTTGTAGAAGCTAACACTGAAAGCTAGAAAAGCAGTATTTTTGATGTTCCAATCACATTGTTTAAGGACCAGAGTGATTAACTTCTGTCAGCACCCTTTGAGTAATGTTTGAACAAGTAAAACTACCAAGTTAAAGTTGTTACTAATAACTTTAACTAAGACAACTATACCTCATGGAAAAATAAAATCTTTCCCCAATGCCTCACACAGGTAGGAAGCAGAAAGCTTCAGAAGTCCATGGAGAAAAAGACAGGTATTTTTAAAAATAGTTTAATAAGAGTTTTGTGAAGCTATAAATGATTCTAAGATAGGTAATTGCAAAGTTTTCGCTAAGTTTATTAACTTTATCGGAAGAATGATAGAAATATAAATCTCAAGTTGTTTCTGGGGTGATTTAGAAATAATTTTATTTTCCTTCAGATCAAAGCTCCACTGTCAAAAGATCTGAAAGCTAAAAGATACAAAGCAGAAAACAATAAGGAGTTCTTAGAAGAGGATTAAGTTATATAAAAAACACTTTTCAAGCTTTTTCTTCATCTTTTATCTTTGGATCCTTCTTTCCTTTGCTATTGTCTGGCCTTATTCTTCCTTCTCCAGTGGCAACTTGAGATTTACATTTCTGTGAAAGTGCTTTCTAAACCTGCTTACTCTAAGATGCCATTTTGATTGGCCTGTAGAAATTACGTATTTTATGGCATCCTGCTATTAAACATAATTTATAATAAATTTCTTTTCCTCACTTCTACAAGAAACATAAAATAAAACATCCAGGCCCTTCCTGGTGGCACAACAGGTTAAAGCACAGCATTAAGAAACTAAAGCCACTTCAGCATGAGTTCGATCCCCACCCTGGAGGTGACCCACATGGTGCAGACCTCTCCTGACCTGCCTGCTGCTCCTCTCAGCAGTGCACTTCGTCAATCTACCTGTTCTGCCCCCGTGAATCCTCTCACCGCCCCTGTACCTCTGGTCTATACCCCTGTTCTGTATGCATAAATAAATAAATCTTAAAAAAAGAAAAACAAACATCCTGTGTTATAAAACTGGGACTTTGCTGGCCACTTTTAGCTATTCATATAATATAGTTTATAATCTGAACATATGTGAATTTATAATTTGATTTTTGAGAAATAATAATTAGTTCTTTACTTTGCTCTTCTTTAGGTATGTAAGAGCGGAAGTTCTGGCTGGCTTTGTCAATGGCCTATTTTTGATCTTCACTGCTTTTTTTATTTTCTCAGAAGGAGTTGAGGTATAGTAGATAATGACTAGAACTAGTAAATTGCATTTCTGTGTGAAAATGTTTATTAACTAAAGATACATGTAATAGAGTTGTTTTTCACACTGTCATTAAGTATTGAGGATAGTCTTGGATTAGAGAAAAAATGTGTGTACAGGGAAAACTTGCAAAATTGTTGAATAAATTAAATGTATGTGAAACTACTGAAAACTGAAAAAAGTGAGAGTAGTTTAAACTGTGAATGAAGTGTTGATACTTTGAAATGTAGAGATAAAATCTCTGTAGTGAGGTTTCTTGGGATGAATTCTTAAAATACAGCCTGAGAGTTTTATCAATGAATCTTTAATATTTGGTGTAGTTAAAAAAAAAGTAAGAGGAAATTTAAAGAGTGATGAACTTAATTAAAATAAATGACAATATTTTAAGATACCAAGGAAGGAGTGGTTTTAGAGGAAAATGTATGCTTTCAAATATTTATATTTATTTGAAAATAATTATTCTCTTGTATAGTATGTTAGCGCTGATTTATCTATAAATAGTTTTGGCAAATATTTTTTGATTGCTTTTAATTCTGAAAGGAAACAGTTTTTAAGATTGTATTTTGTTTTTATTAGTAGATCAATCAGAAATTTTATCAATGCTGTTTGTATTATGTGTTTTCTAGAGAGCATTAGCCCCTCCAGATGTACACCATGAGAGACTGCTTCTTGTTTCAGTGCTTGGGTTTGTGGTAAACCTAGTAGGAATATTTGTGTTCAAGCATGGAGGTCATGGACATTCTCATGGCTCTGGTATGATGGTTAGAACCCTTTGTTTTTTTTTTTTCATTTTCTGGTTTCCATCATAATTACTCACTTTTGAAGACTGATAATTTTAAAATTAAATTCTATTTTGATTGTTAATAACAAAACAATACGTTAATATGCTCAATGTCTTCCTGAATCATCCCACCCATATCTCTTCTTGCTGCCTTCCAGAATTATGCATTTTATCTCTTTGGTGTTCCTCTGTAGCTCTCTATGTAGTCTAATACCATCTAAAACAGCCAAGTAACCACCAAAACTACAAAACAAATCTTAGTTAATTTAAAATCAGTACTTGCACTGATAATTTTCTTATGAGGAGCCATCTTTAAATGTGAGGGTAAACTATACTCATATAGGTCTGCAGTCCATTTTGAGACCATTTTTATGTATGGTGTGAAGTATGGCTCCAGTCTGTCATTTTCTTTAGACATTTCAGTTGTTTTCAGTCCCAGTTGTTAAAGAGGTTTATTTTTTCCATTGAACTGTGTTTGTATCCTTGTAAACAGCCAGTTGGCAGTAAGTGTGGAAATGTATTTCCAAACTCTTAGTTCTGTCTTATTGATTTATATGTCTGTCCTTTAGCCAGTATTGTGCTGTCTTGATTAAAGTAATTTGAGGTGGTTTGAACTCAAGGTAGGAATTCTCCAACACTTCTCTTTTTTTCAGGTTGTTTTGGTTATCTGGGTTGCTTCATGCATTTCCATATAAAATTCATGATCATCTGATCAGCTAGAATTTGCATTGGAATTAAGTTGAATTTGGAGATCAGTTTTGGAAGGATTGTCATTTTAAGATTTAGTAAGGAATATTAAAATAGGCTATTTTTCATTTATTTATAGCTTCTTTAACTTCTTTCAGCAGTGCTTAATAGTTATTAGTATATACATCTCAGTGCTTTTGTTAAATTTACCTGTAGATTTTTTTTTTTTTTTTTTTTGGCTGCTGTAATAATCAGCTTCATTTTTGGATTGCTCGTTGCTGGACACAATTTACTTTTTTATATTGATCTTGTATCTTGCCACATAGCAATTCCTTATTCTACTATGTTTATTACTGAATTCTTTAGAATTTTTTTTCAATAGAAATTAGAGTAGACATTCTTGTCCTTTTCCAGATTATAAGATGTAAGTATTCAGACTTTGTTGAATATAGTGGCTAGCCTAGCATGGTTAGCTTTGGGGTTTTTCTAAATGTTCTTTGGATTGAGAAGATTTTCTAATCTTAGTTCATCTGGGTGTTCTTACAGAAAAGGATAGTGGATTTTGTAGATGACTTTCTTTTTCCTTCCGTAATCAATTTGTTCATCTATTATTCTCTTACCTATAGTAAGAGAATTCATTTTCGATATTACTTCATTTCGATTCTCACTTCATTTTCGATATTAAAGCAACTTTATTTTCTAAGGATAAATCCTATTTAGCCAAGGTTTATAATCCTTTTTATATATTGCTGGATTTAGTTTACTAGTATTATGTTGAAGGTTTTTTTGTGTGTGTTTTTAGATAATATGGTCTGTAGTTTTCTTTTGATATCTTTAGCTACAGCTGGTATTAGGTTAATACTGGCCTATGTAATGACTTGGAAAATGTCCCCATCTGTTTTTCAGCTTGGTTGGGGTTGGGGGAAATTTGTGAATTACTGTTATTACTAAAATGCTTCATAGAATTCTCTACTGAAGTAATCTGAGCCTAGACTTTTCTTTGGTAGAAATTTTTGAATTTTGAATTCATATATTTTTTGTCTTGTTATTGGTCTATTCAAATTTGTATTTCTTCTGGAATCAAACAGTTTGTGTGTTTTTAAGAATTTGTTTATTTCCTCTAAACTATTTAATTTGTTGACTTGTTTAGAGTGTATGTCTTATTTACTTTATTTCCAGAAGGTCAGCATCATAGTATCTTCACTTTCCAAATTTTAATAAATTGTACATTCTTTCATTTTTTTCTTAGGCAGCCTGGTTAAAGTATTGTCAGCTTTGTTAATTTTTTTTTCAAAGGTATCCCTTTTGGTTATATTGATCTTTCTTATCTTCTTATCTCTATTTCAGTTTATTTCTGCTCTAATTATTATGTCTTTTCTTCTTGTTTTTAGTTTAATATGCTTTTCTATTTTCATAAGGTTGAAGATTATTAGATAATTGATTTAAAATCTTCATTTTTAGCATAGGCTTATACAGCTATAATTTTTGAAATAAGTTATCTTACTATAACCTTGGAATGTATGTTTTGGTATATCATATTTTCATTTTTCTTATCTCAAAGTTTAAAATTTTTAAATTTCCCTTGTGATTTTTTCCCCCTTTAATCCGTCAGTTATTTAGGTTGTATTTAAGTTTGTTTCATATTTCTGAATTTCTGACTTTATTCAGTTGTTGATTTCTAGTTTAATTCCATTGTGATCAGACAACATATGTTTTATAATTTCAATTATTTTCAAATGTATTGCATCATGGTTATCTCCTAGTGTTTGGTCTTTTCTGGAAACATTCCTCTGCTCTTGAGAAAAATATAAATTTTGTTAATGTTGGGTGGGTGGAGTGTTCTATAAATATCTGTTAGTTTTATTTGGTCCTGTTTCCTGCTGATCTTGTGAATAGTTGTCTGGCCTTTATTGAAAGTAGGATATTGATGTCTCCAGTTGTTATTGTGGAATTGTTAATTTTCCAGTCATTTAAAGTAGCTTTTTAGCTTTGTGTTTCATGTATATTATAGCTTGCTGTTCAATACACCTGTGTTTATCATTGATAGTGTTTTCCTAATAAAATGGACTTTATTAGGAAATAACTTATTGTTATTCTTTTTCTCTCCCAATTACTTTTGCCTTACAGTCTATTTTGTTAGGTATTAGGATAGCCATTCTACTGTTAGTATATTTTTCTTTCTATCATTTTACTTTAAATTTATTGAAGTCTTTAAATCTAAATTGCTTGTAAATAATTTATAATTGTATCATATTTGAAAAAATCTTTCCTGATAACCTCTGCATTTTAATCAGGGTGTTTGGACAATTTGTATTTTGTATAACTACTACTAAGGTAGCATTTGCATCTGCTACTTTAATATTTACTTGCTGTATCATCTGCCCTTTTTGATACTCCTCTTATTTCTCAAAACTTATCCTTTGAATTTGCTAATGTAACTTAATTCTCATGTTGTTTCTTTTATTTTAAATAAGTTTTTGGAATTATTTTCTTCATTGTGATCATGGGGGTTACAAATAGCATATTAACTTAAAACAGTCTAGTTCCAATTAATAATAATTTAACAATACCTACATGTATTTGTTATTTATCCGTCAGTTCTTTCATAAGTATTGCTTGTGCAATTATTTTTTTAAAACATATAGAAGAAGAGCTGCAAAAAACCTTGCTTATCATCTCCTTGATTTTTAACTTTACCAGTGCTCTATATTTGTGTGAATTTGATGTACCGCTTTAGTGTCCTTCCATTTCATTTGCAGGCAATGTTTTTGTGTAGGTGGAAATGCCTAAATTTCTTATTTATTTTTAAAGAGAGTTCAGTTGAATTTAGAACTTTTGGTTGAATCTAATATTTTGATTTTTCTTTTGATCTTCATGTTTTTTGTGGGAAGTCAGCAAGTAATCTTATGTAAGTTTCTTTGTATATAGTAATTCATTCCTATCATACTATACAATTTTCAAGATTTCTTTTTCATTGAAAGCAATTTAACTGTGTCCCAGATACACTTCTCTTTGAAGTTATTCTACTTGGAATTTCTGAGCTTTCTGAATATGTGAGTTAGTATTTCTGATCAAATTTGTGTAGTTCCCATGTACTTCTCCAGATATTTTTCATCTCTTATTTCTCATTGTCGGGACTTTTGTTTGGTTTAATTTGTTGCAGTTGGTATTTCCATCAGTCTCTAAGACTGTTTCTTTTTCCCTGTTTCTGAGTGGATATCAGTCCATCTTTTAGTTTGCTGCTATTGCAGCTTAAATCTGTTTTGGGGTCCCTCTAGTGGCTATTTTATTACATGGTTTTTAGCTCCAGAAATTCTGCTTGGTTCTTTTAAAGTTTTTTATTTGTTCACTTAAACATTCTCTCCTTGATATTCACTGTTGCTGTGCTTTTGTTCTTTAGACATGGTTTCTTTTAGTGCTTTAATAAGCACGTTTACAATAACTGATTTAAAGACTTTATCTGCTAAGTTCAAAATCTGGATTCCTTTCAGGAGGTATGTGCCACATTCTCCTCTTTGCAATGTCTTGTTTTTTTGTTGTTGAAAATTAGGTATTTTATAATGAGTCTCATATCTCCTCTCATTGTTTTTTGTTACTGATATTGTTGTTTTTCTTGTGTGATTTATTTTGACTAATTCACTTCCTACAATTTGTGACCATTGAAGTATTGGAGCTGGATTCTGAGTCTAATGGCCACCACATTGAAAATAGAAATTATTTTCCCTGGGAACTGCAAGTCAGGGCCAAATGTTTATAATTATCTGAACATGGTCATTTCAATAAAGCTTCAAAAGAAATTAGGTCTCTCCCTTTAGCAACTGCAGTGCTTTTGACTTTTGGTTACTTTCAGCTAAGTTGGGTCAGAAGGCAGACTGGGGATAGGCTTATGTTTTGGCTTTGATTAATTGCTAGAGTTCTGAAATGTTTAATTTTTAGTTGTCTTTCCTATATCGTTCTTAAATGGAGAGAAGTAATTAGCCAACATTCCTTTACCATTCTGGATATCGATCTCCTCATCATTCCTGTTTTTTCATATAATGCAGTGCTGACTTCCAGCTGACTTTGATTTACTGGTATTCAGGACTTTTGTGACTATAAGTGATTTTTGACAGTCTTTCTGTACTGGAATAGCTTGTATAAAATGTTTCTTTGGTGGCCTAGTAGTTCTTCACCTACTATGGAGAGAGAATTCTGCATTTTTTTTTTAACCCTAAGGATTGATTCTCATCTTTGATGTAATTTTACCAAACTTTTTACCAAATGTAGCAACTTCTCTTCTCCTATTTCAGTACAACCATATGCATGCTTTTATAGTATGTGTAAAAGTATTCTGCAAAATTTTGGTCAATATTTTTGTCCGTGTGGCCACCATATGCATGCTTTTATAGTATGTGTAAAAGTATTCTGCAAAATTTTGGTCAATATTTTTGTCCGTGTGGCCCACTAGGGCGGACATCTGTGTCTGTGTTATCCATAGTGCCTAGTGCAGTGTCTATAGCATAGTGTGTCCTAAAATACTATAAAAATGTTGAATGAGTGGCTGGCATTATCTACTCTCTTGAAATATTTCTGAGTATTTCTCACTGTTTTCATCTCCAGGAAAGCTACTTTCTTTCATTTTCTCTTGTACTCTGTACTAAGAACTCCATCAGTATTGTTTTAATGAATATGTAATACTTCATTATGTTAACATTTATTAGACTGAATCTGATTTTAGAGCCAATTCTTTTCACTAGTATCAGTATTATTGTGACCTTTTATATAATACATTTGGACATAAAGTTTTGCTCTAATACTCCTTGTTTTTTAGGACATGGGCACAGTCATTCCCTCTTCAATGGTGCTCTGGATCAGGCACATGGCCATGGAGACCATGGTCACAGTCACGAACTGAAACATGGTGCTGCTCACAGCCATGATCATGCTCACGGGCATGGACACTTCCATTCACATGGTGAGTTCTGCCTGACGACTTTCAGGTGAACACACTTCCAAATAGGCAGAAGTTGTGTAGATTATTTTTCCTAGTTGAAGCAATCTGTAGAAAAGTTACTGCAGCCGACATTTTTCTTTATAAATCAGACTAAATGGTTCCCAGGACTAGCTTAGTTCAGTATATAATGAAATTAACTTGTTTTAAGGCACTAGATGTACTTTTTTCCCTTTCAGTTTCATGATAAAAAATCCCACTATCTTGAAAGAATCCGTGAATGAGGAACAATAACATTCTAGCAAAGGAAAATTGTGATTTTTAAAAGCATGGTAAAGCATTTATTGCCATATATAGCTATATAAAGTGTGTTTTAAATTTTTCACGTTTTTATTATAATTTTTGATGGATATCACCTAATAACTCCATGTTTCTTTAGAAATTAATCTTCTGCTTACTCTATTGAATGTACTCCATGAACTCTAAATACCTTAGTGATCTGAGATCCACTATCAAGCATTCAGAAATATGTAAACAGTTATAAATTTTACAGTGTACTATTTGTCCTTGAATTCTTTTTTCCATTCTGTTTTCTCTTATAATTTTATAATAATGGAATATTTTATGGAGTTCTAATGATGGAGTGTAATAATGGAGAATTTTATAATAATGGAGTATGTCATAAATGTAATTTAATTGTACATGTTATACTTAACATAAAAGATATAAACTACGTTTTTTTTTTTTTAAATTCTTAGAAACAAGACTGCATAAACATAAGACTTTGTATTCCCATTTTATGCCAGCTCTAATCTTTGTTGAGTTTATATTGTAGAGGGTGGGAGTCTGTTCCCCATGGCAACCAGAGATCCAGGTTTCTTCTATTGATGCGTTTCTTAACCTTTGGAATCTACTGCTGCAGTCTCTGCACTTCACTGGAAATAAGAATGCATAGAACCTCATGTTTTGGGACATTCTTATGAGTCTGGGAGTAGTTTATCTTTGATTTTCTTTGTCTTACCAAAGGAGTCTGTGCAATGCAGTTTAGTTATTCTCAAAAAGGAAGAAGAAATAGGTTTAGTAAGCAACCTGGGTAGTTGCCCCAGAAAATAAATTTTATATCCAGAACGACCTTCATGTTTTACATAGATGGGAGTTATGTTGTTGCCTTACAGTTATTACATTAATACAGCTAAATACACCTTCAAAATAATTGTCAGAAGTGACTGTATGGATCTGTTACCTCTAGAAATCTGATATTTTAATCAGGAGCTGGATCTTTTAACCATTACATTTTGACTATCAGCAGGGATAGTTAAGGGAGCTGCATCTTTCTCCCCCACAGCAGTGTCATACACAAACAGAAATCGCTGTCCAGCCATGTTTTCATCCCTCTTCTAGCATAGTTACAGTGCTCTGTCAAAGCTGTGTAGCAAGGGTGTGTCAACTCTTTCAGTGCTCGCCAGGGTAGGCTCTGTTAGTCATAACCTGAAGCTTTCAGTCCTCCTGATGGTTTCTTGTAACGAATATTGCTCCTCTTTTACCCTGTATGCTTTGCTGTTAAAATTGATTACTAATCTTCTCTAAGTATAGAGACTGCAGTATTTTTTCATTACTTCATCATGAGGGCAAAGTGAAAAAGTATTCTAAGTCTCTCATGTGTGAAAAGCATGCTACCTCCACCTATCAGTAGAACCCTTGAAAACCTACAGAATTCATTTATCCTGGAAGCTATTTACCTGCTTTCATTTTAAGACTTCTTACAAACTTTAAGCAGATTGTTCTTTTCTGAATTTTCCAGTTGTAAAATTAGTACTGAATACTTACCTGGCAGGGGAAATACCATGATCACAAGGTGGTTTTCCCAGGGTGAGGCTTATCCATTGCACTCGGGTGTGCTGACGCCTGCAATTTCCCAAATGTGGGAAACTCGACTGCATCATTTGTGGTAGTGGGAGACTGCATTCATGCTCTCCCTGAAAAGAAAAAAAAAATTAGCATTGAAGGTTAGAAGACTTTCACAATGATTTTAATTTACTGTGGCGTGTTTTTTTTATCAGTTTGATTGATATAGTACTTTCTATACTCTGCAGTTGATGTATTTTTAAATTGCTGTGTCTATTTCCACTAAATTACTACATTAAATTAAAATATAACTTTATAGGTCTGATGTGGCAATATAGTGATGCAGCCCTCACAGTACATTTGAATGAAAAGTATTCTGAATTGGAAGAATTGAATCAGGAGTTAAAAACATGTTTTAAAATTATTTAACTTTCTACAGATGGTCCCTCCCTAAAAGAAACAACAGGACCCAGCAGACAGATTTTACAAGGTATGACAAGCAACTTGTGTATGTCATAGTTTTCTAAAACTGATTTCATAGTTTTGAGCTTATCTAAAGTTTTTCTTTAAGAAAACAGTATCAGAGTATGTTTAAAATGTTAGCCTTTCTAATGATTTTTAAAATAAATGATAATATTTTAAGATACCAAGGAAGGAGTGGTTATATTAATAGATACTCTTTTAAATGTTACTTGATTGTTTCTTTAGAATTAATGAGATTAAAATATTCAGAACATCGTGCTATTTAAATACCCATGCCTGTGCTTACACTAGCACCATAGTAGTATGTTTTCCTTCATTTGATTATTAAATGTTTTTCTAAGGATAATAATATGTGTTTACAAAGTAAAAAATTTGGAAACTAGGAATATAATTCATGCAAAACCATTAAAATATGCAACACCAACCATGAATTTTGATGTGAATTATCAGTTGACAATGTCAATGTAATTTTATCAGTTGTAACAAATGTACCATGCTGGTAGGGAATGTGGACAATAGAAAAAGGAAATTCATGGGAGCTAGCTGTGCTTTGCATTTAGTCTTGCTGTGAAATTAAAACTACTCTTAAAAATAAAGTATATTGGCCCAAAAAATAGATGACTGCATCAAAAAGATGTGGTATATCTACACACACACACACACACACACACACACACACACACACACACACACACACAGGAATTCTATTCAGCAATCAAAAAAGATAAACTCATGCCATCGGTAGCAACATTGATGGATCTAGGAAGGATTATGCTTAGTGAAATAACTCAGAAGGAAGAAGAAAAATCTCGATGGTTTTACTTGTAGGAGAAATATAGGGAATCAAATAAGGGATCGGGGGAAATAATAATCATAAACACACAGAAAACAAAATGAACAGGCATTTATAAATCAGTGACAGTCTGTGTAAGGGAAAGGGGGCAGGAAAATTGGAGGGGAAGAGCACAGGAACTGTGTATAGCTATTGTGATGTGTGAATTGGGGACTGCAGTTGAAAGGAGAAAACACATACAAAAGTGAGCAATGATATAAATAAAATATACATACATAAATGATATTATTAAAAAAATCAAATAAGCATCAAAAAATTAAGTATTTTGTATTTTAAAAAATGAAATTCAAAGTGAGACTTTGTCTATATCCGTGAACATCAAATGATGATACCAAAGTAGGAATCTGCCATGTGATATAAAGCAGTATGTCATAAAATTTTATAAACCAGAAAAAAAAATCTTACCTATGAACTATGCAACAGTCTCTTTTTCTGGGATGTGAACCCATCTTAACTCTGAATTTCCATTTAGAGTTCTTTGTCAGAGTTTCCTAGTTCTCAGCTCTCCCATTGTCCCACCTTTATTAACTTTTGACTTCAGTTTGACTTTCCTCAATAGCTTGTAATTCAATTTCTATTATACCTATCTTTTTCCCATTATTTCTTTATATTAGCTCTTGCTTTTTATTTTCTCCCTGTGAAAATGTTCCTCCATACTGAATTTATTTCAGGAGACTAGTTTTCCATTTGCAAAATATATAGAGTTGTTTCAGATGGCATTTATTGAGATAGAATGTATGTTATGCGTCTATACCTAATGCTTTGATTTACTTTGATAATAAGAGTTTGTTTTTGCTTTTGAAAATCATCACAAATTGAGGGGAGGGAGGTTGGACTTGTCTCCCTGATTATCTTTTCTACATATTATTGTGAAAATGAGGTTATAGTTTATGAGTAGTCATCCATTTATGCTGGCTGAAGCATAGATAGTTGAAGGATTTAAAACCCATACATAAGAAAATTTTAGTTATTTATTGTCTCATCAGCGAGGCTTTTAGCTTTCTAGATCATTGGTAAGTTAAGATGTCAATATCCTACAGGCTTTATAAGGCTTTCAACTTCTATGTAAGTTAAACATGTTAATTTAAATTTCTTTATTTAGTGAGTTTCCTTTTCAGATCATTACTGGGAAGTAAGAAGCACAAAGTTAATGACATTTGCTAATAAAGCTAGTTTTCAGGTCAGCAAATAAGATCATTCCAATCAGAGGAAAATCAAGAACAGTTTTTCTTTTTTCTTTCAGATTTTAGGGCTATTTTTATTTTATCCTACTAAAATCCTGATCAGAGAATATACAGTTTTGCAATCACATACTATGTAATAGTTTTGAAACTTTGGAACCCTCAGTCTACTTCAGTGTGTATTTTTCTCTAGTTTTATTTAAAATTTTTAAGTTGTCTTAGTACTTTATTCTTTATTATTTCAAAAGCCCGGGAGAGACCCTCCCTGGTGGCACAGCCGGTAAAGCCATCATGGCTTCAGTGTGAGTTTGATCTCCGTGCCCCGGAGGTGATCCACATGGTACAACAGACCTCTCCTGTCCCACCCACTGCTCCCCTCAGCAATGTACTTCCTCAATCTGCTTGTTCTGTTCTCCACTCTATCTCCGGTGAATCCTCTCACTGCCCCTGCATCTCTGGCCTGTACCACAGTTCTGTGTGCATAAATAAATCTAAAAAAAAAAATTCTAGAGAAATGCATTCTTTTCATTAAGTAGATTTTTGACCTTATATTTTTGTTACAGGAAAAGAGCCATTAACTTTTGAAGAAATGTAAAGGTCAATACTATACACAAATGAAAAGGTGTATTAGGTAATGAGGGATGAATTACATTTGGTATAATACCTGTTGCATAACCCGCAGCAGCAAATGAAATGTGTTTTCCTAGAGTACATTTAGGTGTGATTGGACTCATTAATAGTGCATTTTTAAATTGTAAAAACTGTTTTCAACTAGAAATAATAATTTACTTTTAATCATCGGATGCATAGTAAAATAAAAGGGATACATGCTTTTTACACATTTTGTATTGCCTCCAAAATTTCTTTTGAAGTTTAAGATACAGTGTTATGCTATGCAGTAAATTTTTCTATGCAGTAAATTTTAGCTGTTGAAGATTTAAATGTTGAATAATTTATTGTTTTAGTTAGTTTCAAAAGTAGTGTTTATTAAACATCTTGACATTTTTAAATGCTTTCCCAGGCATTATTATACCTATTTTTTTTGTTGGCAATTAGAATGTCACTATTCTACCAATTCTATCTATCTATCTATCTATCTATCTATCTATCTATCTATCTATCTATCTATCTATCTATCTATCATCTATGTATCTATCTATCTATTCTATCATTTATATGTTTGTGTAGAGGTCTGGGATCTAAGCCAGAGGCACTGGTGGTGAGAGGATTCACCAGAGAAAGAGTGGGAATAGAACAGGCAGATTTACCTAAATACAATACTAAGGAGAGCAGCAAGCAAGACAGGAGAGGACTGCTGCGCCATGTGGGTCAGCTCCCTGGGTGGGGTCAGTCTCAGGCAGGGATCTGCCTCAAGCCTTAGCGGTGATAGCACTGATGCTTAAACTCTAGTACAGTAGGGAGGCCAAATTGAGTATTTTCAGTAGCAAAATTTGAATATCTAATTCTAACCTTAAAATATTTCAAATCCTTCCATTCGTATCAAGTTTGAGCTTAGTGTATAACATCAGGTAATAAAAAACTTCAGGATAATTATTAAGTATATCAGGACTAGTAAAGTTACAGTTCATAGGAAATTCTTTTAATTACCAGTAGAGGGCTCTGTGTGTACATATATTGTACTTCTGAACCGATTATTTAGCTTAGTGTAGTTTTTTCTCTAGAAAATTATTAATTCATTTCTGGACTCTTAACCACAGATGAATGTGAAAATAAGTTTATTTCTCTACCCCTTATCTTATTCCAAAATATTAAGGAATATTAAGAACAAGTATAATTTGCAAATCGTATTTTAACCCTTCTGATATCAAAAAGGAAAGATCACTTGAATTCCCAATGGTACTTGATATGACTTCATTACTGAACAGTGAATCTACATTTTGATTAATTTTTCAAATTAATATTTCATAAATCAAGAATGTAGCTTTGAGAGAATTATGTTTCCAGTTAATCAGAAGATAGTATTTTGATTCTGGCTGTGCTTTATTTCTAGGTGTATTTTTACACATCCTAGCAGATACACTTGGAAGCATTGGGGTAATTGCCTCTGCCATCATGATGCAAAATTTTGGTTTGATGATAGCAGATCCAATTTGTTCAATCCTGATAGCCATACTCATAGTAATAAGGTAAGTGTAGTGTGTTACTTTCAGGTATTAAAATGAGAGCTGATAAATATGCTGTTTAAATCACAGATTTAAATTACTGTTATGTTTCTTTTCCTTTGGTCTTTAACAAATTTTTAGGAAGGTAATTTCTCATCTTCCTAGGTTTTTTCTCTTGCCAAGGGTTTGATGTTTCTTTTTAGTATTCAGCAATTAGTCTTTTGGGCATGTAACTTAAGTCAGCAAACGTAACACTGTTTGTAGAGTAGAACATTGGAAACAAAACTATAGTTTAGAATTTTATTCTTTTGACCTGAACATATTGTACTATTATTGTAAATATTAGTGAAATGTCTTATACAACAATTTTTAATTTATAAATTTATGTTATCATTGCAGTTTTATAAAAATGCTTACTTAAGTATATTCCTATCTATGTTCTTATCCAAGTTGTAAATTCTTGAAAGGTTCTTTAAATTCTAATGCTTTCTACTGCCTATGTAGGGCTAATATGTATGTAAATGTGTATGTTAATCCTCAATAGAAATTTTAATTAAATTGTATATTGTTGTCTCATAAATTTGTCTCACCCTGAGATATATTTTATTATTGTTATCTTTACCAGACAATGACATGTGCTTTTATTTCAGTCTTTAATAATTTATATAGATATATCATGATTTAACTTTTTATTTATCCATATGACTTCATTGTCAGTAAAAGTTTATTTTTTAGTAACAACAAAGACCTGCTGGAGGGCAAAAAGTGGTGATTTTTAGAACTTATAGTTGTTAAGTTTAGTAAACTATAAAATGATAATCTTATAAATCAGTGAGTCCTGAAGACTTTTTATTTTACTTTAAAAAGGGCATACATTTTAAATATGCAGAATATTTTAAAAATTAAATGATTTGTACTAGGAAGCAACTCTGCTGTGTAAGTTTCTTAGAAAGTTTGGGGTGCCTTCTTCATTTTTGGAAAGCTTGCTACCTTAAAAGCTCAACTTAGGTGTTATATATTCTGTGAAACTTAACTCGTGATAGATTTAATAACTTAACTTTTGTACCTCTATTTTCATATCAGTATACATTTCATTTTCTGTGTACTGTAATTCTCAGTTGTTTCTGATTCCTCTTAGAATTGGATTTTAATATTCGCTTTGTTTTGCCTCCACTGTTATTGTCATCATTCTTCTGTCCTTGGGAGAGGTTGGCCTTTCTGTCTCCCTCCTAAGCGCTATGGCAAAAGTGATCTTTCTTTAAGGAAGATAATGCTACATGGAAAAATTACTTTGCTTTGAATTCTTCAGTAGCTATATTTTACTCTCAGTCTAACATCTGAATTACTTAGTCAGGTTTCATAATGTTACTCATTTATTTAGTCAGGTTTCATAATGTTACTCATTTACTTCAATCTCTCATCTTAGTCCACTTTATATTTTGCACCTCTCAGTTACCTACACTACCTTCCACCCTTCTCTCATGACCTTTACTTTATCTAAATAGTTGTCTTACTGTCTTTCTTTTTTCTTTCTTTCTTAAAGAGTTATTTATGAATACAGAACTGGGTGAGAATCCAGAGGTTCAGGGGCGGTGAAAGGATTCACCAGAGACAGAGTGGGGAGTAAAACAGACAGATGTACTGAAGTACACTGCTCACGGAAGCAGCAGGCGGGTCAGATGTCTGCTGCACCATGTGGGTCACTCCCTGACCAGGGATCGAACTCACATATGGAAGCAGCTGCTGCTAACTTCTCAGTGCTGTGCTTTAACCCATTGCACCACCAGGAAGGGCCTTTTTGTCTCTCTTAAGCTGCAGCAGAATGAACTGTTTCTTTGTTGTTTTAAGTCAACACCTGACACTGCCAGACAAAAGATTGGTACACTCTGGGTTTGAATCAAACTAAATTCATGTTATTTCAACCTTAGATAAATTGCTTTCTCTAATTCGAGACAAGAATTTCTTACTTAGTTCTATTCCCACTCAATGTTTTCACAAATCTGAATAAGTAAATACATATACACACATAGGGGAACTTTTTTTTTTT